CTGCGCACCAATGTCCCCAAGTCAGGATGGGTGCTCAGCAAATTGTGTGACATTGAGGGTACTTGTCTTTAGAAGATTTCGATTGTTTGGGGACCCTAAGCATGTCATCTGTATGTGACTTCTAATCCTACAAGGTAAGAATTGGGATAGTCACAACTAGATGAAGAAGCTGAGGCCCAGAGACAGGAAGCAACTTGCCTGCAGTTGCACAGCTAATATGTGGCAGAAGCAAAATTCAAACAGAAGTCTTTTATGCTGTAAGCTTGCTCTCTGCCAACCAGGCAACCCTCTCTGGTTCTCCCAGAGATGGTGGTGTGCAATAGGAGAGAGCCCTAGATGGGGTGGCCTCAGGAACCCAGAGGTCTAACCTCGGCTCTGCCTTCCTTCTCTGTTGCCTAGGGCTGCACCCCACTGGAGTTTAATTTCTTATCTGTGAGTAATCTGATCAGGCCTCCCCTGCTTCCTTCTTGTGATATTCTGTAAGACATGCAAGGTAGGTACTATTATTCCCATTTTACAGTTAGGGAAACTGAGGCCCATTCCTTTATTCCTGATGAATGAATTAGATGTAATTTGTTACATCTAATTAAATTAGATGTCAGGGATGTCTATTGGCCAACTTCTACATTCCAGAAAGGAAAGTGACTTGTCCAAGACCACACACCTACAAAACAGTAGGGCTGAGCCTCAGACTGACAGTGGATGCTGCAACATAGCACTTCATGGCCTCCAGAATTGTGGAAGAGGCCATAGTTTCCCAACTCTTGCCGAAAGCCACTTGGCTCCTCCGTGAGCCCAGCCCGTGGCACTAAACAGATCCTAGGAATGACACTCTCCTGGGAACTTTTGGCCTGGAACATATTTACAAAAGTCCAGAGGGGATGGAAATATCCCAACCCACTCCCTACAGACCCAAATTAGCAATTTTCTTATCCTTTATAACCCCTCTGGAAATGCAAACTATGTAATATTAGTCTAAAATTAGGAGCGTAAGTCACAAGAGAAAAGTCCCACTGCTTTTGGAGAAGATGTTTTTTGAACCTCATCCCGACATTTGTTCTAAATCTGAACACAGCAGTTGCCTTTCACATAATTATTTCCTCCCAATCCTTATCAATTGGGGGCAAAATACTTCTGAGAGAATATATTTTTACTGTATTTTCAAGTGCTGAAATCCATTCCCTTTACCTGGCTTTGATCGACAGGATATTCAGGTGAGGCCTGGAACACTCAGACAGGAAGAATGTCCCACAGGCTCAGGGTGCTTTCTTGAATGAAGGGCACTTTAATAATGACAACAATGTCATCTGTAGCCACCGCAGGTTGACTGGTTAAGTACCAAGAAATTGTGTGAAATCTTTTACAACCACAATTACATTTAGTCCTCATGATAACCCTGCAAGAAGGGTATTATTGTCCCATTTTACATAGGAGCATAATTAAGGCCTAAAGAGGTTAAGAGATTGGGCTAAAGCCATGTGGTTATAGAACAAGGAGGTGGCAGAGTTAGAATTTTAACCCAAGTCAGTCTAACTCTGAAGTCTAACTAGGATGTCGTCTCCCACAATGGTTGCAAGTATGTTACCAGACACGGTCCTAAGTGACTTAGATAATAATCTCTTAATGGTCAAAATAATCCCAACGAGCACTTTGTTCTGATCTTGTCCTTCCCCAGTGCATATGCTCATACTAACTTCGAGTCTGTTGCGCATGTCAAGATTCTCTTGTTCAAGCACTGACACCCCAGCTGGCGGAGTCAGTGTACGTGGCAGTGTGTGGGTAATATAACACCTTCAAATAAATTAACCCTAGCAGACTCCTCACACCATGGGCATGCTACTTAATTTCTTTGATTTTCAGGGTTCTCATCTGTCATTTGAGTTGGGCGGCTCCTTTGAGCTCTCATTTTCTGGAATTCTGTGACTGGTGCAGGGCCTGCCTGAACATGGGTGTAGGAGAGGCGAGTGCTGTTACCTGGGGGTCAAGGCAGGGGAACTTTGAGGGTTAGGGGGATGTGAGGCCCTGGCTCTTAGGAGCGGTGGGGAATGGACAGCGATGGGGGTGTGGTGCTGGGGTCCTTCAGCTGGCCGGAAGACTGTAACCTGACTGAAGAGGACAGGGTGTCAGAACCCCTAGGGTGGGTGCAGAGCCGGCATGTGGAGAGAGGGGAACGTCCCTTTGGTAGTTGCTGAGGGGCTGGACAGTGAGGGGAAGCACTGCAGAGGGGAGAATCTGAGAGAGCTGACCTTCCAGCCTGCAGATAGGACCACACCCCTCTTCTGCCCGGCAACACCCAGGGGATCCCGAGTGCCCAAAACACTCCCCAGGCAGCTCCTCACCACAGAGTGTGGGGTTGCCACTACTGGACGCTGATGCGGCCACATTCGGTTCTCACCCTACCCAACTTCTTGCTGTTTTCTGAACTCATTACTTGCTTTTACACTTCTGTGCCTGTACCCACATCCTCTGTGAATCTGTTTTCATGTCTCTAGGCAGTTCATCGCATTGGCTAAGTTATAGTTATGTGTCTAACTTCATCAACGCACTGTGACCCCCTTGAGGGCCATCACATGGTGAGGTGTGGAGATACAGACAAGGTAACAGTGATAATAAAGCAAAAAGAGACAACGGGTGAGGGAAGAGAAAAACAGAGATGTGGCTGCCTAGTGAAGAATGGGTGGCTTGTCCCCTTGTCCCATGGCACCAGGTTCCCCCGGCAAGCATGTGGGAAGGAGAAGGAAGGAGAAAGGAATGGGGATTAGCCTCTGCAAGTGACTTAAGTTCATTCTCTCAGGACTTGGAACTGCAAGCTGCTTCCTTTAGGAGCTCCCAGCTCTCCCCTCCAGGTCCCCAGTAGGTATCTCCAAGGGAACAAGCATCCAGGGGACAATTTCCAACCCCTCCCACCCATGGCCAGCTTTTTCAGCAACATGCTCTTAGTGGTAGTAGATATCCAGCAAGTTAGGGCCTGCCTGCAAAAAGGGTTTGCCTCTCGGATAGCCTCCAGGGAGGCCAGGGAAAGTCACGGAATCCAGGAGCCGCGGAGGAAGCTACCGCAGGAGCCGGGCTCCTCCCCAGCCACTTTCTCCCCAGTGGAGTTGAGGTGGCTGTCCCTCCTGAGCCTGCGATGAGAACCCCATAGTGGGGTACCAGCTGCTGCCCTCTGTCTCTCCTGAGTTCTTACAGAAAAGCCCTAGTCCTCTTGTTCCTCACCCAAATTTTTAAAAGGGGGCTGGAAACTCAGGTCAGCCCAGTTTTTGATGGTGGCTAGAGAAGCAGGGTGTGCAGACAGGATTTGTCCCGTGTGTACCCCGCTGTTCCTGCACCCTACACACAGCACAGAGATGGGAATAAGCAGGTCATAGCCAAGGGCGGAGAGGGGGCAGGGCTCTCGTGGGAGGCTCGAAAAATTTTTTTTGGACTCTTGACCCCTGTTACTTTTCTTCCTATTTTTATTAACACAAATCCCTAAGTGTGCTTGTGTCCGGAGAAAGGACTATGAATAACTGATGATACATGTGTTGATTAACTTGTGAATCATCCTGGGGGGGTGAGGGAGATGGGAGAAAGGAGCAGGAGCTTCGGAGGCTCAATATGATGTGTCATAAAATATTTAGCAAACAATGGTCCAAACCACAGGGAAAAAGTCAGAGAGATGGGAATTTGAAAGCTGCCAGGATTTAAAAGCTATTTAATGCTAACCATCGGTGCCAAAGAGCTGAGAGTGCCTCCCTTCCTCCCTACATTGGCAGCAACGGCTCTGGGAATGTGGAAAGGCCTTGGACAGGCCACAGAGCGCTGGTAGGAACTGAGAGCAGGCAGCGTGCTGAAAGGCTTTTTGTTTGAGAAATCTTGTAAACAGGGGATCTCCTCTGAGGTGGAATCCTCACCTTGTCTACTGCGTGTATCTTCCTTCCTTTCCAAGATCTCCTGGATGATAAACTCTCCACATACAACAGTGGTTAAGCATCTAGTCGGTCATGTGGATGCTTCAAAATATCCTGAAGTTTGACATCAAGGAAGGGGGAAAAAAAAAACCGTATGATGGGCTGAATTTGTCATTTTCTGTCCCAATGTTTTGATGTCACTTAGACAGCGGCTTTAGTCGCTGGTCCTAATGTGATGTGGTTGCATGTGTCATTCTCAAGGTCTGAGTTCAGCAACTGTCTCCCCTTAAAGGGGTCCTACATTTTTAGGGCTGGGGTCATGACTCACACCTGTGACCTGACTCTTTGGAGATCTGTTTATTTTTGGATAAAGGATGAAAATTTCTTCCCTGATATTTTGGCCTTTGGGTTCCTACTCTCTACCTATTCCAAATCCAACACATCCTTTGAAGGCCCACTTCGGTGAACTCAGACACTCTTGACTATTCCAATCTTCATTAATCTTTATTTCCTTTGAACTCGTATAGTACTTAGGGTCTGAGCCATTCATTTGGCATATGATTGTACTGTTGTTTTTCAGAAAGATTTAGTTTTTTCTCCTCCATTCAATTGTTAAGTTCCTTTTAGCAGGTGCCAAATCTTAAAACACTTCTGTTACCCACAGCTCCTAGCAGTTAATACCGGCTCCTGGGTTATTTGTGATGCCTTGAAATCATGTTGGTAGGCTGCTCTTGGTGAGTGACAGTCTTGGTTGGGACTGTGAAAGAAGATGTAACTCTTGCTAGGCCTAGGGATATGCCCCAAACTAGCACATCCAGGTAAAGAAACACATGCTCTAAGCAGTTTTTAGTCCTGTAGTTCCCCCTTTCCTTTCTTATCTGTGATTGTTAAAACAGATGGAGGGTCTGGGCAAGTTGTAAATTGAGTAAAAAATTACTGAGAGTGAATTGATTGGCGTTCTGTTCACATCTTTAAAAATGTGTAAGAAAGAAAGAAGAAAAATAAGCAAAGGGAGGAAGGAAGGAAAGCATGAGAAGGAAGAGGCAGGAAAGCCCAGGGGGGTGGGTGGGGCAGGGAACAGATCAGACAGTCTTCAAATACAACCAGCAGTTTCATATGTGGTAATTTTTAATATTAAAAGTAAATTGTAAATGTATCTTTATAAACAATATGCATAAAATACATCTATTATTCTAAAACCCTTTCTTTTTAAAATGCTTTTTCACAGTAAATTTTTTAGGTGTCAGATTTTTCCCTCAGAATCATAGTGCAATTGGAAGAAGTAAAACATTGTCAGTGAATTAGGACTTCTCTGCTAATACAAGTCCTTGTATATTTCTTGTAGGAGTGGGTGAAGACTCATGTCTGTCTCTGTTTTCTTTATTACTTGCAATAGCTGCACATGTTCTGTTACAATCTGTCTGAGGTCTGTCATTTTCTGGAGCAGCTTGGCAAAGAGCTGAGAGGACTCGGGGTGGTTCAGCTTGAGCTGGAGCTCCAAGGCTTGCAGCAAGTTGTCTTGTATGTCCTCTATGGGTTTCACATTCAGCAAACCAGGGCGGTCTGGGGGAGCAGAAGAACAGGAGGTTCAGTTACAAAATTCTCTGACCTCATATTAGAGGCGTATTGAGCCAACTTACTCACCTGTCTTTTGGTTGGTTGGTTTTGCCTTGGTTCTCAACTAAGGTTGCGAGGGAAGGTAAGTAGACAGCAGGCAAGGGCTGCACACAGGAGAATGGGATGAAAAGCAAGGCTATCAGAGCTCTTTCCAGGGGCATTCATTTCCTGGCTGGGACAGAATCTTTGTGATCAGTTGATGTAACACGCTCCCCCCAGACTGAGGACTCTTCTGCCAGTAGGTTTCCAGTCCCTCAGAAATCTCATTTTCAACTTCTGCTCCTTGCTGAAGAGTCTATGCTTTATAACCTCTGCTTATGTTCTCACCACACCTTTAAATATGCTTTGAAAACAAGCTCTGTCTTCTTTTTGGCTTAATATAGCATACGCATTTTCAATGAGACAAGACATAGTTTTAAAATACTGTTACAGTTTGGAGGGATAGACCACCCCAGATACTGAGGGAGGTTTCTTCTGAGCAGCAATCTGGAGGCTGCAGGTAATTTTCACTTTCTTCTTTATCCTTTCCTTATCTGAATTTTAAAAGGTGAAATTAAATTACGTTTAGACTTTTTATGTTTTTCTTCATGCAGATCTTGTTAGATTTATCCTTGAATACTTTGTAGTATACTTTCTTCATTTTAATTTTACTTTATTTTATAGTATTCTTCTTTTTCATTATATTTCTAATACATCCCTGTTGCTGTTTAGAAAAAAATTATTGATTTTAGTATACTGAATCTATTCCAATTTTCTGAACTCCTGTAGATTCAAATGGCTTTTAGCATGGATTTCTTTTTCTGTTATGGATAGACAATTAGACCTGCAAAAAAATTGTAGTTTTATTTCTTCTTTTCCAGTGCTTATACTTCTCATTTCTTTTTCTTGCCATAGTGCATTGGCTAATACCTCTAATATGGTATAAGATATTAGTAGTGGGAGGAAGCATTTTTGTTTTATTCCTAACCTTAAAGAAGATGCTTCTAATGGTTTACTACAAGTATGATGTTTACTATACATTATGGTGATTACATTTTACTCCTGGATTTCCAAGAGTTTTAAAGTTTTGAAATTCTTTCAGTCAGAAATGTTGCATTTCATCAAATGCTTTAAAATTATTTCTATCTAAAGAGATGATGATATGTTTCTCTTAATCTATTTTAAAGAATTGTATTAATAGACTTCCTTATATCTTTGAACTTATTTGCTAATATTTTGTTTAGGGTTTTTAAATTTGTAAGTGAGTTTGGTCCAGAGTCTTTTTTTTTAATGCCATCCTTTGCCTATTTTGATACTAAATATTAACTGGCTTTATAGACTGAGTTGAGAAGTTTTCCTTCTGTTTCTATGTAGCAATGATCTGTTCCTTGATGGTTTCTTGGAATTTAATGACAGAACCAACTGAGCCTCATTGTAAATCTTTGACTACCTTTAATTTTTCTTCTATAGCATTTAATCTCTTCCAGCTTTCTACTACTACTAAGTAAAATTTTAGTAGTTTATATTGGAATGAAGTTGTACACACATTTCCTGAGAATCTAAAATCTCTTATTGGTTTTACCTTCTTAACTGAATGTTTTTTATTTGTGCATTCTCTCATTTGAAAATCTGATATGAAAAAGGCTCATCTGTGTTTTGCTTTTTTTAAAAAAACTGCTTTTGGTTGTATTATCAACTCATTTTTAAAAATTGTATTTTGTTTTCAATTTAACTAATTCATGCTTTTAACTTTCATTTACTTTTTTCTCTTTTTCTAGTTCTTGAGTTGAATGCTTACTTCATTTAGTTTTAGCATTTCTTGTTTTCTGATAGATGCATTTAAAGCTCTAACAATTTTCTCTGAGTGTCACTTTGATTTTACCCCATAGGCTTTGGTAAACAGTACTCTCATATTTAGAAGAGAACTGAATAGTCTGTTTTACTATTCTGACTTCACTTTTTAATTTGAGAGTTACATAGCATTGTGTTTTTAAATTTCCAAGTGGAAAGGTTGAGTGTTTGTTTTGTTTTCTAACTTCTAGGTTTTATTTTCTAATTTCTAAGTTGGTTGTGGTTAGAATATAAGGTTTTCCCATTAAGGCTCAGGAGAGGGGGCAGGGTTTATGTACGACAATCAGGACACCCACTTGGTACCTTGCACTGATTCCAAATTTTAGCTCTTGAAGGCTATTTACGCTCTCTAATTTTAATGCTTCTCCCCTTCTCTGTAAACCACAACACTATATAAGAGCTTTTATTTACCTTTTGATACCCTTCATCCTCTAGTTTCAGTTTCTGTAATTACCCTTTTGCTCCAGCCATATTAAGCTATTTCCACAGCGAGTCCCTTAAACATCCTATGGTTCTGTCATGACTCTGTTTGGGCAGATTATGTTCCTCCACCCATCTTACTGACTTCAACCTTATTTTCAAAATATAGCCCCTGTTATTAGGACCTGGGAGCTCTCCTTGATAGAATCCCTTCTTCTCCCCTGTTCTCCCAAACCCCTTTCTTTGGACCCCATAGCACCCCCAAAACTTCTCAATCACCACTATACTTGTAGATGACATTTATGAAGTAGTTATCATTGTGCTAAGGGCTTTATCCACTATCATTCATTTAATCTTCCCAATAACTCCATGAGCTCAGTACTTTATGGAGGGGGAAATGAAGATTTAGAGAAAGGAGTTAAATCTTGCCCCAAATCTACCCCGTGCTAGTAAATGGCAGAGCTGAAATTTGAATCTAAATCTGTCTGATTCCAAATACTATACTCTCAACTCTTACTACCTTGAATTGTAAGTACTAATTTCCTGTTTATCTTCCCTAGTAGGTCATGAGCTATCAGAAGGCAGAGACTATGTCTTGATCATCTCTGAGCCTTTAGTGGAAACATAGGAAACACTCAGTTGGCTGAGTTAATCAGTGAGAAGGTTGTTCTGGCTACAAGTCCTGGATTAAAAAGTACAAGGTCCCTGGTTGGCAAACAAGCTGGAAGGCAGGATCACTACACAATGAAGAAGTCTCTATAGCATGTTTTCCTGTATCTAATAAACTCTAGTAACTTTATCCATTGAGATGAGGCATGGGAGAGAACATTCTCTTAAATTAAGTTTCTTTGTTTTTTTAATTACAGAAGGAAACTTATCTTTTTCAATTTTTTCCCCTGACTTCTCTAGCATATCCCACTGGCTGGAGTAAATACACTTTAAAAAATTACTTCAGCACTTAATTTTGGAATCATCAGCAAAAATCTCAGATTCTGAGCATGAAACAAATGATTTAACCCTGGCCTAAAAGACTCATAACGCTGGAGGGCTTGGGCCTTTCTCAGAGTTGCTGTATGCAACAACGAAAACCCTGACACTTCATGGAAAAGCATAGCCTAGGTTGGTGTCTTTGGTTCAATGACCGCTCATCCTCTCCATTTAACAAATGTTCAGTTTCAAAGGCCTTTGCCAGTGCAACAATACATGCATCTGAAGCGGCGTCACTTGGTGTCAAGACAGCTGTTGAACATGGCTCCTCCACCGGCCGGGACCCACACCCTTAGGTAGAACTCTCTGCTCAGGGGACACATGCCCCTTAGAGCCTTTCTTCCTTCCTCTTTACTCTTGAGCAGTGTCGGTGGGGTCAGAATTTCTGCTGAAGAGATTATATTAATCTGGTAGGTCTCCTTTATCACAGTTCAAACAACCAAACCCTACAAGGCAGCTGACCAGGCTTGCTGGGAACACTTGGCTGTGGTGCAGTATGATGGAACTGGCCCCGCTAGGGGTGGAGAGGGATCTGGCTTGGCTTTCAAACCCCTCTTTGGCAAGGTATCTTTTATGATGTGACGGATGAAGTTTGGCTGAGGGGCTGAAATTTTGTGGCCACTGATTTATAATGTCTCCAGTGACAAGTTAGATCATTTACAGATTTGTCCCTCTGTCCCCCTTACTGAGCCTCAGTCAAGGCAAAATGGAGCGCAGAAGAGCAGAAAACATCATTCTGCCTCTAGGTTTCTCACTAACCAGCTCCAACTTGGACAGTCTGACTAAGCTCACTGGGCCTCAATTTTCTCCTCTGTCAACAAAAAGGATTGGACTAGATAGATGATTCCTAAGACCCTAATTCAAATGCTCTAAGCTTTATTCTTATTTGTAATTCCCTTTATATAGTTCATATAACTAAGCTGGGAGAGTAAACTCAATATACAGTTAGAAAAGTGTGCTAATAATTTAGACATTAAGCTCAGAAAACTTGGCTTATTTAGAAAGCATAAAAGCTTTCTTTGGTCTTAAGCAATCCTTAGGGTCAAGGGCAAGGGGTATTTGTCAACGTTGCTCCCCACCCTCGACCCTCCAAGCAGTTACAAGGCCTTCCCTCCTCCCCTTCCTGTCTTTTTCTACTTTCCTTCCATGGACACTCAATGGCTTACTGAGCTAAGCGGTATCAAAGAAGTGGTGAAGAAATCTATCTAAATTCCCAGGCCATCCTGGGTTCTTTCCCGTCCCTCTCCACTCCCCATCTGCCCAGTGCCTGCTAGGGTACTGTTCTTAGAAGGCCTGTCTGAGATCCCCCCCATGTACATTGCTGAGGGTTACAGTTGAGGTCTGGAATAGGATCAGAGTCAAGGGACCCTCTGTACTGGCCTTGCCTGCTGAGAAGGCCCTTTCGGGAGAGTGCATGTTGACTCACACACTCCAGGACACAACACTCGTGGAAGCTGGAGTCAATTACTGGTTTCTTACTCCCCAAGCTGCAAGGAATTGGGAAAGAAACCTTTCCGGTTCCATTCACACAGTGCTGGAATTGATTAGAAAGCACTGTTGATTATGGGCAAACCTACAAAGCTCTCATCTTATCCAGATCTGGTTCCGTTAAGTGGAGAGCTTATCTGAATCAGATTCAAATTCTCTTGGCCCTCCTGGGATCTGCCCACCTGGACCAGGCCTTTCCCTGGCATGGATTTTCTCAGGAA